TAAAGCGGAATTTACACCCGCAACCTAATAACTGAATCTGTATGATAACAATATAAATTTCCGGAATATTACAAAATTTTGTGGTTTAAAAATAATATTATATATACTGAGTATATATATATATTTAATTATTATCAATATTAAACACAATTTTTTCTATGAACAGAAGGACAATGAAAAAAAAATTAATTTAGGAACACTAGCTCTTTTGTCCTGGTATCAATCATTTTTGGAGATTTCTGTACTTATTTTTATAGTGGTTGCTGACTGTCCAAATGGTTTCACAAGACATGATGAGTCATGTTACGTCATTAACCGTGTCTTAGCAACGTGGGCTCAAGCCAGTGTGAGTGCAGGGCACAAATCCATGTAAACACTTCGTCACATGACAGTTTATAATTCTATCCAGCAACAAAATCCAAGATAAAGTTTGTCGCCGATTTAAGGTAAAGACAAGAGGCCCAGGGGCCACAGCGCTCACCTGAGCACATTGGGCTTGAATTTATTCCCCCCCTCCAGGCGTTCATCATTTGAACAAATTAGAATCTACACTACCTGAGGATGATTCCATATAAATATCACTAATCATAGCTTTGAAGTACTTGAAAAGAAGATTTTAAAAGGTTTCCCTATATATCCCTATGTAAAACTTGGGTCGGCCATTTTGGCCCTACCCTAGCCCCGGAGGTCATGATTTGAACAAACTTGAATCTACACTACCTGAGGATGATTCCACATGAGTTTCATCTTTCCTGGCCCAGTGGTTCTCGAGAAGAAGATTTTTAAAGATTTTTCCTATATATTCCTATGTAAAACTTGGGTCGGCCATTTTGGCCCCACCCTTGCCCCGGGGGTCATGATTTGAACAAACTTGAATCTACACTACCTGAGGATGATTCCACATGAGTTTCATCTTTCCTAGCCCAGCGGTTCTGGAGAAGAAGATTTTAAAAGATTTTTCCTATATATTCCTATGTAAAACAAGGGTCGGCCATTTTGGCCCCATCCTTGCCCCAGGGGTCATGATTTGAACAAACTTGAATCTACACTACCTGAGGATAATTCCACATGAGTTTCATCTTTCCTGGCCCAGTGGTTCTGGAGAAGAAGATTTTTAAAGATTTTTCCTATATATTCCTATGTAAAACAAGGGTCGGCCATTTTGGCCCCACCCTTGTCCCGGGGGTCATGATTTGAACAAACTTGAATCTACACTACCTGAGGATGATTCCACATGAGTTTCATCTTTCCTGGCCCAGTGGTTCTGGAGAAGAAGATTTTTAAAGATTTTTCCTATATATTCCTATGTAAAACAAGGGTCGGCCATTTTGGCCCCACCCTTGCCCCGGCGGTCATGATATGAACAAACTTGAATCTACACTACCTGAGGATGATTCCACATGAGTTTCATCTTTCCTAGCCCAGTGGTTCTGGAGAAGAAGATTTTTAAAGATTTTTCCTATATATTCCTATGTAAAACTTGGGTCGGCCATTTTGGCCCCACCCTTTCCCCGGGGGTCATGATTTGAACAAACTTGAATCTACACTACCTGAGGATGCTTCCACATGAGTTTCATCTTTCCTGGCCCAGCGGTTCTGGAGAAGAAGATTTTTTAAAAATGCCATTAATTTTTAACAAATTCATGATTATCTCCCCTTGGAAAAGGGCGTGGCCCTTCATTTGAACAAATTTGAGTCCCCCTCACCCAAGGATACTCTGTGCCAAGTTTGGTTGAAATTGGCCCAGTGGTTCTTGAGGAGAAGATGAAAATGTGAAAAGTTTACAACGACGACAACAACAACAACGACAACGACAGACGACGGACAAATTTTGATCAGAAAAGCTCACTTGAGCCTTCGGCTCAGGTGAGCTAACAAGTAAACAGCGCAACAACGAATATATGCCGCAACATTGTTTAATTCTAACGGAAACGTTTTGGTTTAAGTTGAACAATATGCTTAATATATGCATTCAGCATGAAAATTGTTTTATCAGTAAAACAAACATTATTCTGTTTACAGATATACTGTCACGCTATTCAAGCTGAATTGGTTTCCATAGAGAGCCAGGCGGAGGACACCTTCCTTCGAGGATATCTACAAAATGAAGGATGTAATGGAATTTATCGTCGTTAAATCACTTAATATGTCAAAAATTTCAACACGTTTATTGGGCGGATCCAGAAATTCTTCTTAAATGGAAGAAAAAAGGGGGTATCGAAAATGTAATAAAAAAAAAAATTCAAATTAGAAAGCTAAAAATAAAAAAGAACGGTAATATCTGTGCATGTATTTAGCCTGACTATTCTAGTAACCATTTAAAACCAATAAAATGTTTCCCTTCATTCATTTTAGCCAAATATGACCATCCCCGGTTCTGGGTCGGTGGAAGTGACCTCCTTAAGGAGGGGGAGTGGACGTGGACTAAGACCGGAAGTGTGATTGGTTCCCATGGGTTCTCCCACTGGGCTCCGGGCCAACCGAACAATGGAGGTCATTTAGACGAACACTGTATGGAGCTAGAGGCCGGAACTAACTGGTTTTGGAACGATGACGAATGCGAGAATCGCAAAAACTTTATTTGTGAGAAATCGTGAGTCAGTTTTCATATGGATCAAACCGCTCTTTATTACTGTAGATCAATAAATTTTCTCGACACCTTATTTTCACGAGATAGTCATCGACTCTTGATGAGTAAGAAAAAATTTTCACGAATTGTGGTTATTGCTCTATATAATCCTAAGGAATGCTAGAATACGCTAGAATTAAATTTAAGCGAGCACGATACTATATAGTATTTCACGTTATTACGCGAAAATAAAGTTCTCGCGAATAAAAAGTAGGTTATATTCAGCGTTAGAATATGTCGACTTTATCGTTAGAATTTTTCATGCAGTTGAACTTAATCTTTAGGGTTTTACTGTCATTAATAGTTCTGACTCTGAGAATCTTGATTTTGAAAGAAATCATAAGATCCCAAAAGTTATTTTTATAATACACAAGGAGCTATAGTTTAATATGTAGTTCTTACCATGACATTGAATGTGTTGACCTAAATTTCATTTTATTTTACAAAAGATATACCTCAATGCAGTCGAAAATCTTGATCAAGTTTGTGCCTTTACTTACGCCTTGAAAAAAAATGTTTTGGTACTTGTTTTAAGACTCATTGTATAATTGGGTCGTATGTTAAAATGCATAACAAGAAATATAAGAGAAATATAAGAGAAAATCTGAATGCTTTAATTTCTAGCTCGAAATTAAATATTCCGTTCAGAGTTTTAGTACAGCTTTTAGAACAATTCTAGGACTCAATATAATGCTATGTATTTATATATTGTTCTTATATTTCAGGCTTTACGATACAACAATCATTGGATAAACTTATCAAAATATTAAATTAACATAGATTACATTTTCGTTTTCTTTTTTCAAGATGTGGATTATTACTAAATTTACTGTAGAAGCCAGAAAGGACGTTGTCTACTGGCATAAAGCCATTTATTTTGTAATGTCTGACCAGTCACACAGATACATGTATTTAAACCTTTTTATGTTCTCCAGTGTAATTAAACTAATATTACAAGTTCACTGAAGCTAGTTTTTTTTTGCACACACCTATTACCTTATGTTGACCATATCACATCCAAATTAAAGTAATAAAGACACAAAGTTTGACGGATGAATATGTCATTTATTATCCATGTATAAATGACGAAAGATAATTAAAAAATACATCAGATAAAGGGGAGATCACTCCTGAAAAAATGTGTAAATTTGTACAAAACATTAGTTGATCTCCCAAGTGTAACATATTACATCAAGAAAATCCAAATAAGCCATCCAGAATTTAAATGATAACAATCAGCAAAAAAGATGGCAGACAAAAACTGCCAAAGTACAAGCATGCAATGTTTGTACACACTGCCACCCAAAACACTGTGCATGTATTAAAAACACCTTTTGATGTTTATCTTGATTTACGTACTTGTAAGAGTATCCTCGCAGTTCCTAGGTGTTGAACATCTTCAGTCAAAAGTTACTGTATTTCTTTAATTAAAAAACTAAAACAAGCATTGTTTACCATATAAAGATTCATTTTATATAGTGTTTTCTTTGCAAATAGAATCGTTCTGTGCAGCGCATCATTTGACTATTTTCTGATCATCCGTGGCACCGAGAGCGGAAGAAATTAAGAAATGTGGGATTTATTTTGACTCAAATTTTCAAATGTCTAATGCATCCTTAATACTATAAAGGGTTTTTGGATGTCGATCCCCGTTCCTAGTAACGGTGTCTTCGGTATTTCAATTTGCAGTAAGTTTTTTGGCAATGGAAGGGCTACTAACAAAGGTTAAGATTTTAAAAGAAAACCGAATATATTAGGATTTGTTTTTAAATATAACATTTATTAGGAATCAGTTCCACGTAAATTGTATTTTCCCCCAAATTATAGATGTTTTTATGTTGACTTCATTTCTCTCAAAAGTATTTTTGAGAAGAATCCATTTTAGACACACACACACACACACCCTCACACACCCTAACAGACATCTGAATTATGGATAACGCACAGTTCTGCACTCCCCACATCTAATGACAAAACTATGATTAACAACTCTATACGTTTTCTAAGTAAGAAAATAAATATATTTTTGTAATTCAAATGAATATATTATTTTTAATGGCGAGTATCACACCTGTATGCTTTTTGTACATTCCATTGACTGTCTACATTTTGAACCTTTCAATACACTGTAGACACTACACATGTATAAAGAACCGACTTCACAATCCTTGTTGTTACCTAAAAATATATATTTATATATATAATTTACTTTCCCAAAATTCATGTTTCATAGTATACACCTGTATTGTGTAAAAGTCTTCGCACACTTAGCTGTCATATTAAATAGATTTAAAGGTAGACTTCACAGTCTTTGTTGTTATCTAACATGCACACCAAGAACTAGGTCATTGGTAGGCGACACCCGACAAACATGGCTGCCAGTACACCGACCAAAAAATACCCACTGGGTTCTCCACAAGAACACATTAAAATGTGTGAAATCCATGAAAAAACTATTGATATGGTATGTGAGGACTGTGATGAATTTATTTGTGTTGAGTGTGCCTTAACAGGGCATGGAGGGCATGATCCGAAAACTCTTTCTACGGCAGCCACTCAGAGGAGGAGAGGTCTACTTAAATTTTTGAAGAAGATCAAGGAAGAGGATCTTCCTGGGATTGATGAGAAGATGGAGAAGATTCCACAACAGATTACAGAAAATAAAGAATTGTGTGACTCTGAGATTAAGAAGCTACAGAGGCATTATGATAAAATTATAGCCGGGTTGACAGAAATCAGAACACGTAATGAACAAAAACTAAGAGACAATCTAGTTAAAAAGAATGATCAGTTGAACTATGTTAAATCTCAGTTAGACAATAAGAAAAGAGGAATTATTGACACAGTGGAATTCATGGAGGAGAACAACACTACCATGTCAGATTACAGCTTGATTGACAACTACAGAGAACTTAGAAAAATGCTGTCTGAATTGGAGGTTCATATGACAAACTGTGAATATTCAGTGAGGTTCGTTAGAGGTGATATCAAGGAAGACTTACTTGAGTCTTTGTTTGGAAGAACTTTGGATTTAGAGAATATTGGAGCGACTAAGATAAAGTCATTTGAATACGGAGATGAAGAAATTATTGTGTTGAAGGCATATAGTGAGGACCAATGTTACGTTAAAGAAGTTAACTCAGAATATACAGAAATAGTTAGCAAAGAAGGAAACAAAAAGAAGAAATTTAGTATCACACCTTTTGAAATGTGTGTGACTAATACCGGTGATATTTATTTCACTGATGATAGCAACAAGTCCATCAGCTGTCTTTTACCATCAGGATCTGTGTCAACAGTCATCAGTACAGATCCACTGATACCAGTAGGAATCTGTCAGTCAGTGGTCGGTGGATTACTGGTCACCTTGAGAGATTATGAATCAGATGATTATAAATTAAAGTCACACAGCAGACGTCTGGTGAGATACATCACAGTGACAGGTGACGTCATCCATGAGTATGAGTACCAGGAGGACGGTCAGAGCAGACTGTTTACAGTGCCAACCAGACTCACACAGAACAGTAACAGTGATATCTGTGTTGTGAACCGTACAAATAAATTCACCGGTGATCTAGTAATTATGTCTCCTTCTGGTAGTTTAAAGTATGTTTATCGTGGACAGAACCTGATAGAGGACTTTTGTCCATCATTTGTAGTATGTGACTCTCTCTATAACATCCTTGTTACTGACCATAACAACAAACAGATCCATCTGCTGAGTTCTGACGGAGGATTCCTGAAATTCTTACTGACAGAAAACGAAGTGAACCATCCAATAAGATTATCAATGTACAAGTCAACACTTTGGGTGGGATATTATGAAGGCCTTGTCGAAGTGTTTAAATACAGAATATAAAATGTAACAGAATATTTTTTGGAATTTATTCATAACAGGAAGTATTCTTTAAGAGAAGAGTAATAAATTCATTGTCTGATGCTTGTAAAAAAACACCTCACATTTTGTTAACAATGAAATTTACTTATAAAGATTTCTATAGCGTTCACATTTTTTGTTAAAAATGAGATCGATTTACTCTTCAATAAATGATTTAAACAACATTTCAGCTTTCTCGTGTGTAATGTTTGATTTCTTGAACCACATTATAGATAAATTACTGTAATCATAATAAACATTTTTATACATTGCTGAATGAAAAATTTTAAATGAGCGATTGTGCATAGTGCATACACTATGTAGATTTGGTAAAAATGACCTTTCTTTCTCTTAATTACCTATAACTTAGCAAAAACGAAGAAGTTAACTCTTAGTAAGTGCTTTGTACGGTAGTTAACGAGGGCTGTTCAATAAATAATATCCTCGGTGCTCAGATTGATTGATTGATTGTATACTGTTTAACGTCCCTCTCCAGAATATTTAACTGATATGGAGACGTCACCATTGCCGGTGAAGGGCTGCAAATTTAGGCCTATGCTCGGCACTTACGGCCTTTGAGCGGGGAGGGATCTTTATCGTGCCACACCTGATGTCAAACGGGGCCTCGGTTTATACGGCCTCATCCGAAGGACCGCCCCATTAAGTCGCCTTTTACGGCAAGCAAGGGGGTACTGAGGACATATTCTAACCCGGATCCCCACGGGGCTCCTCGGTGCTCAGAAAGAAGCAAAAGACGCTTTTCAATGATTTAGTCTTAATAAATTAAGGGGGACCTATGTCGTTCTACGTCAATGCAGCGTTATGTGACGTCACAATAGCGACGTTTGATTTTTATTTGTTGACTTTTGCAACAGTTATATAGGCATAACATTGCTATTAATCAATAACACACACAATTTAAAAAAAATTATCTCCGGTTTTAAGTTTTATTTGTTTTATGGAGTTTTTCAATATTAGAATTCTCTTCCTTTGGTTGATAATTCGTAGCAATTTCAGTTGTGAAGAAATACCTCGATGATATGCTGATATATAAGTGCAAAAAGATTTAAGATAAAATTCAGCAAAGAAAGCGGCTTAAATCGGGGAAATATGTTTAAATTTATGTTTACCATTAATTGTATTTTCTGGATAAAACTAAGAAAAAAATTAAGAAATGTACTTGTACTTATATTTGCTTATTGATTTATAGTACATGTAGATTTTATTACATAAAGTCATTCCTAGTTGTTGTTGACGGGGAAATGAGGGTGGGTGGGATAAACAGAATGATTAGAATGAAGAAGAAAATAATTAATCTGTTTAAATTGTTTCTAATCAAAACAAAATACTCTTTTTTCACAAAATAGTTTTATATTCAGATGTTTGTCAGTGCTTACGTACCTTTTTTTTAGTGCAGAAAGGTCAATATTTATTACAGAAGAGCACGAAAATAAGAGAAAACGTCATATTTCTCGTTTATTTTATCATAAAGGTATACTTTTTTCTTTGTTAAAATAAAGAGATAAATTTGTTCTTTCAAAAAACATGAATTACAACATTTTCACACAAAGACTTTTTAAGATATTACCAGTTATGCATGTCGGAATTGTAAAAAAAAAATACGACAAGAAAAACGGGGTGATACTTACATTGCGCTTCTTTATAATTTTTCATGCGAGATAAATTACAATGAATTTGCCTTTATTTTAAAGATACAAGTCATATAAATTAAATACTTGTTGATTTCGAATGTGATTTGACATTTTTGTTCTTTTTAGCGCCTATTTGGAGTAGAACAATAATGTCTGAAAATAATCTATTTTTAGCATTTCTTACTGTTTTTGCACGTGCTCCTGTGTAAAAATAAGTAAATAAAGGTATTGTTTTTAATACCTAAAAATTAAGAGCAAGTGGTCAAGAAAGAAATATCAAAGTTTTGAAAATTTCACACAAAGACATTTCCGACATAGGTCCCCCCTTAACTTAATATTCTTTTTCAATTAAAATACATGTCGATAATTTTTTTTATCCAACTTCTGATTGTTTTTAGAACTCATTTTTGGGTATGACCCTTAGTATACTGGAAAATGGCAGATCTTATGATTTCCTGGACTAGTTTCCTCGTTCTGTAAAGTGCTTTTTTTCAAGTTTTGAAAACGAAAAAAGTCAAAAGGCGAAATATCTGGCAAATATTGTTAGTGTGATTAACAAAATTCACTTTCTGTTTATCCCAAAAACTCCTTTAATTTCAGGGCATGCGGGTTTGGACGCTGTCATGAAGAAATTTAATGTGGATTCCGAATTCTAGTTCCTTCCTCTCATTAACCTTTCGTTTTTTTTTTTTTTGTTTTTGTTTTTTGTTTTGCAAAAAAATGCCTTCTAGACTCTTCCAGAAATGAAACTGCCTCCCCGAATACCAATTTTAACAAGAAGACCATTAATATTTAGGAAAGGAGTATATATGATAAGAGCCAATTTTGGCCCCCTAAAAATCAACATTTTAGAATGAGATTCAGATATGTTTAATTGATATTTATTTTGTAGAAGAGATTATATCAGAATTATTCCCAATATATTTTTCACATTTATATGCACTCACTAGCTGTAAATGACATGAGCAATAATGCTATTTTTGCTATCTAGCAAAAAAGTCAAAAATATGCCTTTTTCTTGATGTTTTTTTCTTATGGGAAACATAGAGCGCAGTGTAGAACATACACAGTTTTTCTGTCACTAATTAGTATTTGATAGATACGTCTTTGGTAAAAATATAAATCTTGTTCTAGACTGCACTCTATATTTTCTGGAAGTAAAACTGTTGAAAATATGCAGTTTTATACAAAATATGCTAAAATGGCGGGAAAAAGTGATTTTTATGATGTCATATTTCTAAAATAACGGCATTTGGATCAAAATTAAAATGATCAATAAAGGTCGCATATATAGCTGTACAAATTAAAGCTATAGATATAGTAAAATTAAGATATTCATTTTAAGGGGCCAATTGAGAAACTAACCATATATCGCTCTTTGCGTATAAAACTTTCTTTGAGTTCTTGCAATTCTTTGCTCTTAACAGACCTTTGCTGTTTTTGTCAAGTACATCTTACTGAAAATTTTGTTTTGAAGGTTTTAAGCAATAGATTCAAGTTTCATTATTTATTTACTTCAAAAAAGTGAATCTGTATAAATGTATATGTTTTTAATATTTGTTATATAAAGTTACTTATCATTTACTATCGAAACAACGACAGGTCCCTTTTTTTAGAACATCGAATTTTACTTCTCGGATAAAAGCGTACTTTGCATATTTCGTGTTTTATATTCTAAAATTGAAAATTAATACATTTTTAAATATAAATGATGCGTGTGTCTAACTTCAATTTATATTTTATGCAGCCAACATTTATTTGAGGAATTGATAAAGTTTAAAATGGTATCGTTTTTGATTGATTTTTATCCGACTACAATTTTTTTTAATATTTGCGACTATCGTGTCGATCAATTAGACGCATGCCTTTTTACACATATCGATTGATTGATTGATTCTGTATTGTTTAACGTCCCTCTTTGAGAATTTTTCACTCATATGGAGACGTCACCGATGCCGATGAAGGGCTTCAAATTTAGACCTATACTTGGCACTCAGGGCCATTTAGCAGTGAGGGTTCTTTATCGTGCCAACGCCTACCGTGACACGGGACCTACGTTTTTAAGGTCATATCCGAAAGACCCGTGACTTTCACTTCTAGTTCCGAGCGCTTGGCGAAGGAACAGTCACTACCTATGTTTACGTCTTAGGTATGACGCGGCGCCGCGATCGAGAATCGAACCCGGGCCTCCCGATCACGAAGCGAAAGCTCTACCACTAGGCTACCGTGACCGGTTTTACACATATCGAAGTGATTTGTTAATCAAGATTCATTTTCGTTGTCTACTTTATATATTTCCCGAGCGACAATTGATGGTAACATCAATGTTTTCTTGTATGTAATATTTTTGACTCTCTTTGACGATTGTTATAAGGAAAAAAATATAATGACATTTTTTTGTGCGCACTTTTGCGCTTCCTAATTAAATATATATATTTTTACAATTAAATGCAACAATTAGTTATCTTATTGATGTTACCTAGCACGAAGAAGAACGACCGAGTATAAACATTTAATCAGGTTAGAACTAAGAAGGAGGGTAGATTTCACTGTTTATTTTATTTAAAATTTTACTTATATACAAGTAACAGCTTTTCAAAAAGCTTGCCTGACGTAATCAATCAATATCTGTAAGAGAAGTGATAAACCTTTTGAGCAATACTTTTTTGTGTTTGAAATATGTCTTTTTATTTGAGAACCTTGTAAAAATATTTAATTATTTAACATGTAAAAGAACGATGCCTTTGATGCACTCTGAAGAGTTGTTAACAGAATGGTTAAGTATGTGGGTTTTCTGCCAATCGCAACTCCTCGGGCCTTATCTAGGGAAGGAGACCACAAATGTATTGTTAATCTATACGCCATGACACCCCCCCCCCCTTTCAAAAACTTTGAAATAAAAGCATGGATGATGTATATAGACCTATTTTCTGTGTAATATGGAGTTAATTTTATTCAATGTAATTATATTATCTAAAATATACTATAGAAGGGACTTCTAACTCCGTTTTTACTATGAACAGGAAATGTATAAATTTTTAACATCCGATGATGTCGATACATTCGAGTTTGTTTTTCGACCTCTGACGAGAAGACCCGAGATGATGCGATTGACTTTTCTGCAAGTTGATTGATCTACCCCTGAATCTTAATTTAAAGCTACACCTATTCTGAAATCTGTTGTCAAATCATTCATTGTGAACATTTTAGAGAATGGATATAACTAAATACATATGTTGTAGGAAAGCATTTTCTCCAATGAAGTAAACAGTAGTAGTTTGTGTTCATTGATCTTTTTTTTCTGAAACGTGGGTACTATAATTTTTTTAGAACGAAATAGGTAAATCCAACATTTAGGCCTTTGTGGAAAAGAAATCCAAGATTTCGCACAGGTAATTTCTTTCGTCAAATCGTCTGGAACCTGGTTGAACTGCGACGATCGTTTGTGGTGATTGGACTAGTCCATTAAAATATGGAATAAACCAACAGAGGGGAAACAAATTAGAGAAATCATTTCTTTTATTTTGCATGTCCATATTCTGATACATACGATTCATATGTTGTTTCAAGGAATAAGATATAATTTGCAGATAGAATTTCTGAATGATAAGAAGATGGAGGTTACAATAAACTTTATTTAATTCCATGGAAGTTAGCACCCCCATTCATACAATAGAACAATCCAAGAAAAGGCGCGAAGATCGCTTACTCGTGACATTTGGCGCGAAAAGAGCGATTCACCCCTTTTGTAGAACATAAATGGACCGATCCAGTAGTATAGAAATGCGGAAAAAAAGATACACGGACACTTTGAAATGGTAAATCACACGGAATAATCTGTTTCATGCAAACAGAGTAAACAAAGTAAATACTGCATTATTTTGCATCAGTAAAATCATTGTTTCCCAGAAAAAAAGTTTCTTTTAAAATGCAGGTAAAAGATTTCCAATGTAAATCAGCTTGGACAAAATCTAGCTCTCTGGGTATGATCTATTAGTTTCGGATCAAGCATTTATCATGCAATCCTTATACAGCCTGACGCCGTGACGTCAGGCAATAATTAAACGGTGTCCGCAACTATGTTGTAAATAAGTTTAACATAAGTGCTCAGTTTTAAAACCACTGGATTCTATTGACAGCAAAGAAACACTTGGGAAATGCTAAAAACTGACATGCATACAAACAATTACATACCTCGGACCTGCTTTAAACAAGTTTCAGCAACTAGTTGTCGTTCATAACAGCGAAACCTAGCAGCAGTTGCAGGACCTACGTAAGTTGTTATAATTTTTTATGCCCATTATATAATTCTTTATCATTAAAATCCACCTGCTCATTTGTCTATAAAACAGGCATCGGTTGCTGTAAATGTCACATATTTCATTGAATATTTCTATGAAATTTTTAACAAGTTTTACAGCAGCTTTAATGAAGCTTTTATTTTCACTCTAGTTTACTGATTCTTTATCATTCATTTATAATGCAGTGTCTCGAATAGCCCTTGTTTTCCAGCATCTCAAATTGAAACTATGTGATGAAAAGTGGTCACATAAACTGTTCTAAATTCAGTAAAGATTCAATAATGCGAAAAAGCCAAGTTTAATGTCATATAATATCTGTTTTGTATGTCATACAGTTCAGGACATTATTTATTGAACAACCCTCGTATCTCTGGCAACATGCGTATAAAGTATGTCAACATGCAAGCTTTAAGATAAGTACATGTACGTTCTAACCAATCTTTTCAGAGAATCACTTATCAGTTACCAGTATTTGAATTCCTACATTTGAGATGTGACATAATAATGTTGACATACAACTTATTTATGTCAACATGCATAATTGTTTATGTAGACATGATTTTTTTTATAATTCTTTATTTATTTTACACAATCTTCCATTGTTCATCATACAAAATTTAATATTTTTACAGATTTTATTTTTTTCATTTTGTCAACTTGCGAGCTAATTTTGTTGAAATGCCAATTTATTATGTGAATATCAAAAATAGCTATGCTGCCATGTGTCTTCATATCTCTCCTGGAGACAAGAATAAGCGCATATCAACATTATTTTCTTGAATATGGACAAAAACACATTGCATGTAAAGAGGATTAATTCTGTATAATTACTGAAAATTCTAAAAGCCGTAATATAGTTGTAAGGAACATAGACAAACGATCAGTCGTCAACTTCCTAACATATATAGAAATCTACCCTTATCACCTAAGTGATTAAAATCTCAGCCACCATTTTTCTCCATGTACGTATTTCATTGATTCGATATGCAAGTTCATGCTCTATCAATTCTTAAACGAGGAAAGTTATTGACAAAAAATACTCTTGTTAAAAGTAATCATTTTTCAAGTTTTATGGTCAATACATTGACTTATCAGCAAATAAATTCTTTAAGTCAAATGGTGACTGATATTTTTTTATACAGGGATGCTCACGTCTTCATGGCACACAATCCATGCAACTGACTGAACTTTCCACAGATTTCCTTTTTTTCAAACATGGCAAGGAGAACACGGCGGGTGTGACTGGTTGGCAGGGTATGCTCTCTCCCCTATGGCACCTGATCCCACCTCTGATGTTTTAGAGGTCCGTGTTTGTTAAGCTTCTATTTTGTATTGTTTCAAATACTTTTGATCTTTAATACTATTCGTTATTTCCATAATTATGTTTCATACAGAACAATAAATTCTTTATACATGTAATGTAAACAATGTATGTTTGTTCATGTATAGAAAATATCATATCTGTAACTAAACGAGATTCAGTAAATCACTTAAACTTTCTAATCGTATTAAGAATTAATTTTTCAATTGAAAAAAAATCTACTTTGTACGAACATATATACAGGATCTGTTTATCCAACAAGTTTTGTTTTTATTTCTATTCCCGTGCCTTGATGAGGAGATAAGGACACACAAGGAATTGGAAGAAATATCCAACTACAAATCATGGGAGATTTTTTTTATCCCATGTTAAATACCTCACAGCCAATGTTTTACACTGTTTTTGTATAGAACTCCATGTTATTTTACTTCATTAAACTAACGCAAAAACCATTGTGACGTTACAACTGTGGGATATGACTCGAAGTACTGTGTGCAATGAGCCTCCCATATGAATATAATGGCACTGTCCATGTTTTACTATGAGAAATCCAAAATATGTGTCGGATCAAAAAGTAAAATAGGTGGTGCACAATGGCATTATGTAATAAAGTTTTTTTTTTCTGAAACTCTCATCAAATTTCATTCAGTGGTATGAGAGGAATTGCGGATATGAGATGGGTACCCTAAAGCGTAAGAGACAGACGTACGGACGGACAGACGGACGGACATACCGATTACCATATGCCCTTCCGCTTTTCAAGCGGGGTATAAAAAATTTCTAGTGGATCATATCTATGTGAAAAAAGGAATAGTTATAATAAAAATTAGTACATTTAATGTATGTTTACACTAACTGAAATTCCAATTTTTATTTTCATTAAAAATACTTGGTTATATCAGGTAGGATTTAAAAGATCATATTTTTCTTCCCTCATCATGATTGTACATCTTTAAATTGAAATAGTAGAAAGCGTTTGATATTTAACTGACATAAAGAAAAATTTAAAGTCTGATTTAACATCTTACAAAACACACACAAAAACAGTAAAAAAAACTAGGTCACTGATAAGAGGATCTGACAAAAATGGCGGTAAATAACTCAGAATATCCATTTGGATCTCCTCTAGTGCACGTTCAAAATTGTGAAATCCATGGCTTACCTATTGATCTAATATGTGAGGAGTGTGTTGAATTCATTTGTGCTAATTGTGCCAGACATAAAGATCATGAATGGAAAACTCTACCAACGGCAGCCACCGAAAGGAAGAGAGGTCTGCTTGAATTTCTTAGGAATATCAAGGAAGATGGTCTTCCTAACATTGAAGAGAAGATAGAGAAAATGTCAAAACAGATCGCAGAAAATAAAGAGGTGTGTGACTCCGAGATCAAAAAGCTTCGGAAGCATTATGATAAAATAATGGCCAGGCTGACAGAAATCAGAATACATCATGAACAAACATTAAGAGAAAATTTAATTAAAAAGAATGGTCAGCTAAACCATATAAAAACTGAGTTAGAAAAAAGGAAGAGAGTAATTGTTGACACAGTGGAATTCATGGAGGAGAACAACAACAACATGTCAGATTACAGCTTGATTGACAACCACAGTGAACTGACTAAACTATTATCTGAATTAAATGTTCATATGACAATCTGTGAACATTCAGTGAGGTTCACTAGAGGTGAAATCAATGATGACTTACTACAGTCTTTAGTCGGAAAAACTGTGGATTCAAACAATATTGGTGTAACTCAGATAAACGCATTTCGATACGGAGGTAATACAATAACTGTGTTGGAGACATTCAATGAAGATCGATGTTACATAAGGGGCCACAAATCAGAATATACAGAAAAAGTAAATAAAGAAGGAGTAAAGGAACATAATTCATTTGATATCATTCCATATGACCTGTGTGTGACTAATACTGGTGATGTATATTATACTAATGCTAGAAACAAATCTGTCTGTTTTCTTTCACCCTCAAGATCTATCTTTAAAATATTCAGTTCAGAATCATTGGTACCTCGAGGAATCTGCATATCACGGATCGGTGGACTACTGGTCATTTTTACAAACAGTGAATCCGATCTTTGCAATTTACAGTCACAAAGCAGATGTTTTGTCAGACATATCACATTGATGGGTGATTTAATCCATGAGTATGAGTACAAGAAAGATGGTCACACCAGACTGTTTACATTTCCAGTCAGAATCACACAGAACAGTAACAGTGATATCTGTGTTGTGAACCGTACAAATAATACTACAGGTGAACTAGTGATTATTTCTCCCTCTGGTCATTTGAAGTCTGTCTTCCGCGGACAGAATCTGACAGAGGACTTTAGACCAACAGACGTAGCGTGTGACTCCCTCTGGCACATACTTGTTACTGACCTTTACAACAATCGAATCCATCTACTAAGTCCTGACGGGGAATTTCTGAAGTTCTTACTGACAGAGAATGAAGTAAGCCGTCCATCGGCACTGTCCCTATACAAGTCAACACTGTGGGTAGGATACCGGGAAGGATTTGTCAAAGTGTTTCAATACAGAACGTAAAATATGACACTGATTTTGTTTGAATTATTTCTTGACGTAATAAAATGAATTTCTTTATAACAAATGATCAAATAAAATGTTAATATTAACACGTGTGACGGTTTTTATTTTTATTAAGAATTTAATCTTTCTTTTTAAAATTCATTAATTGTTCAAAAATACTCTATACAATTTCTGATAGTCACTACTGATACTGTCCCACAATTATACACTTTTATGGTCAATCAAATATACTCTGATTTAATTTGAAGCAGTGGCCCAAAATGATGGATACGGATATGATCGCGCGTCTGGTTCTACGGAACGGCCATAAAGATCAAAGAACTGTAAAGTAATAATTGGATTGTCACGCAGACGACCCAGCTTCAATCCCAAATTAGTTTCGATCCTTTTTTCATATTGAACTTTAAATTGGTATGTGCCATGTCTCTGGAACAAAAAATGTCAATATCAGTGACATGCAGTATTTTAATAACATTCGTTACTTTCAAAGCATTTAATGATAGCAATAAAATTCCTCAAACGTGTAGTTGAATTGCTTCTGTCTCTATCTCAAATTCATACATGCCATGACAACCACTGCAAAGATAATAACAACAACCTTTTCTTTTGTACCACGGAAGATTGATCCTGAATCAGCGCTAGGCAACAATATCATGGTCAATCGGACAATTGACCTGTCATTCTCCGCGATGAGCGTTTTCTTACAAAAAAAATAATTTCTTCCTAGGAGAATTTCTCTAATACATATTCAAATGCCTTTAACATGTCTAAGGAGAGGAATGGATTTTTCTAGAGTTTATCTACCTCCAAAATATTTTAGTTTGAGAACGTCATCTTAAACACAGGCATTTAAAGCATGGATAATGTATATACCTAAATCCTCCCTACGTAAATAATTACCAATGTATAATTATCGAGTTTACATTTTCATCACCAAAAAATTAAAATTTTGTCATTCTGTGCAATTGGTATGTACTTTTTTAATTGTGGCTGTATACGGTATATAAAGTATATACTTTACCATATTTGACTTATATGCAAAGGAAATGATGATAAATTTTTTTCAGTATTTTCTTAATTTCAAACGAAAATCGTTCATTTAAATGATGTAAATAACACCTGCATGTTTTATCTTGATCACTTCATTGTACATCTACCTCTCAAATATCGATATACTGCATGTACAAAGTACGACTTGACGAATACTTGAGATTGTATACCATGCACATTAAAACTGGGTCATTGGGTCATTGGTAGGTGACACCCGACAATCATGGCTGAAAGCAACTCAGACGAAAATTCGTTAGGCTCTCCTGTAGTGCAACATAAATTGTGTGAATCCCATGGGTTAATTATTGATATCATATGTGAGGGCTGTGATGAGTTCATTTGTGGTATGTGCGCCAAGACAGATCATAGAAATCATAAGTGGAAGACTCTTACCACGGCAGCCACAGAAAGGAGGAGGGATCTTCTTGAGTTTCTGACGAAGATCAAGAAAGAAGACACACCGGAGATTGACAAGAAGATAAAGAATATTCCACAACAGATGACAAACAATAAAAAAATGTGTGACTCTGAAATTGAAAAGCTAGAATGGCATTGTGGAGAAATAATGGCAAGATTGACAGAAATCAAAAAACGTCATGAACAGGCATTAAGAGACAAACTGGTTGAAAAAAATGATCAACTAAACAGCGAGAAATCAGAGTTAGAAATAACAAAGAAAAGAATTATAGACATCGTTGAATTCTTGGAGGATAACAACAGCACCATGTCAGATTACGGCTTGATTGACAACCAAAGAGAACTTACAAAAATGTTTTCTGAATTAGAGTTTCAAATGACAAACTGTAAACATTCATTGAAGTTTTCTAGAGGAGAAATCAATGAAGATTTGTTAGAGTCATTGCTTGGAAGTACATTTGATTCAAATAATATTGGAATGTCTCAAATTAATTCATTCAAATATGGAGATAGTGCAATACTTTTCTTGGAGGCTTTAAGTGAAGATCAATGTTACATAGAAGATTATGAATCAGAATATACAGAAGTTAACAAGCAAGGTGTAAAAGGACGTAAAATAAGTATCACTTCCCATGCTTCTAGAGGCATATGTTTGACTGATAATGGTGATATTTATTTCAGTGACTCTCGTACAAATTCCATCTGTTGTCTTTCACCATCAGGATCTGTGTATACAGTCATCAGTACAGATCCACTGGTACCAGGAGGAATCTGTCAGTCAATGTATGGTGGACTACTGGTCACATTGAGAGACGAGGAATCAGGTGAATATTTTTTAAACTCACACAGCAGACGTCTTGTGAAACACGTCACAGTGACTGGTCATGTCATCTATGATTATGAGTTCCTATGGGATGGCGAGACTAGACTTTTTACATTGCCACTCAGAGTCACACAGAACAGTAACAGTGATATCTGTGTTGTGAACAATACAAGTGACTATTCAGGTGAACTTGTTATCATTTCATCCTCTGGTCATATGAAGTCTGTCTACCTTGCGCAGGAGATGGCAGAGGTCTTTAGTCCTGTTGATGTGGTGTGCGACCCTCTCTGTAATATCCTTGTTACAGATTACTACAGCAAACGGATCCATCTACTAAGTCCTGACGGGGAGTTCCTGAAGTTCTTAATGACGGGAGATTATTTGAACGGTCCATTCTCACTGTCTATGTACAAGTCCACACTGTGGGTGGGATATCTTGAAGGACTTGTCAAAGTTTATCAGTACACTATGTAAAAGGAAACATGTATTCTTTTTTCTCTAAATTCATTCATCACAATAAAATATCTTCATAAGAACTGGCAAATTATACTCTGTAAATAGCTATCAATTTATAATCACTCAGACGAACTCATAACAGCGTATTCAGAATCATAAATTGATTAATTGTTCTGTTTATTTTTAAACAAAATTTCCTGAATCATGTTATAGATAAAGCACTCATTGTAAATAGATTGATTGTACATTGTATATAAATAATGTACATCCTGGTAAATTGCGTGTTTGAAATAAAGAATGACTCAAATCTAAAATGTGTTAGTTTGTGACAAGAAATTATTAAGAACAGAGTATTGTTTTATTGTGCTACCCCCATCCCTAAAACTATCTATGTACGATAAATTATGTCAACATATGAGAAAAGTATATAAGCATGCAAGAACTACACGGACTGAGAATATATTGTGTGTTTGTTTTGCTTTTGAACATGTCAACTCTGAATTTTCTGGATTATAGTATAAATATTTTTCATTTATACACAACAAGGTTGCCACTTTTCCGAAGGATTAAGAATAACGTTAAAATTTTGTGAAAGTGCAAGGATGTGTCAATCAAACCCGCCAAAAAATTTCAAGTTTTAATATCGTTTTAATGAAGTAAGATTTTAAATTAATTTTTGTGTGAAATGCTATTAAAATATATAATTCGTGATATTATAGAGAAGAAATTAACTTCAAATCTGTGTCCAAGTACCTTTAAGAAGGGGCACGTTTATTGCAGAGTTTATATACTCAAAAATATGCCAATCTGACTATGTCAATAAAGGATATAGATAAATAACACAGATACGAAGGTTTTCTCAAAAGTTCGTGGACGATGACGTTTTTTGTTAAAATAAATGGTTTCATATTTATGTAATGTATAGCAAAATATTTCCTATTAAAATCAAGTCAGAAAGATTTAATTTTGATTGATGGAACTTTATATTTTTGTAAAAATCGGTTTTTGTTTTGTTTAAATGTTTACTAAGTAATTAGATATGATATATCTGTTACAAACAAAATAAATAATGAATTATCTTCGGATCAAAAGCAAGTCACTAGCGCAACGCTGTCCATTATCACCGATGCCTCGCGAGAGACCGAGAACTTCACTTCCATAAACATGGTAAACAGCCCATCTGAGCCACGTGGAGAAATCGATATTGCCACATACTATGACATACATCTGCACTCCATCATCCGATAAGACATCGACCCTCAGTCATTACCATCCAACTTCTTACGCAATTCAACGTCTTTTGTTATTTTAACACACACAATTCTGTTTCCTGACCATGCTGACCAACTTCCCGTTTCATCAACTGCAACATTGCATTCAATATGGCAGTAGAGAAGTTACCTAGGGCCTATACACGTGTTCGTGCTTCCGACAACCTAAATCTAGGTCACATATATAAGTAAAGTTAGCAACATTGCTTTGAGCATAAAATAAAATTCTTTTGTTGTTTATTTTACAAATGTTGATATTTGACTGCAGTTTAACTAAATAATCAATAAATTTGTTTCGTGTTTGTATGGGACTATTTTTTATAGTAAAATTTGACGTCATGGGGCGGGGCAATGGAAAATATATAACATAGAATACCTCGTGCATTCCAAATCTACAAAATTAGGCGGTATTTCGATTTATTTTAAGATTGTTATTTCAAGTTAAATGGAAATATTAGGAATCACCGTCAATTTAGGAGAGTATGCCAGGGACATCAACAATAGTGGGAAACAAGGGATAATTCTAGCATATGCAAATTATTCCATGTTTCCCACTATTGTTATGCCCTGGCATACTCTCCTAATTAGACAGTGATTCCTTAAATCATTTTAATCCAAACACTTTATTTCAAAGTTTATGGCATTTTAACCTTGATCCGCGCGCACTATCTGCAACCTTTCAAGACCCCGATTTTTACAAAAATATAAAGTTACATCAATAAAAATGAAATCTATTTTACTTGGTTTTCAGAGGAAATAATTTTGATATACAAATGATATATATGGAACCATTTATTTAAACAAGAACGTCATTGTCCAAGAACTTTTTAGACAAGCCTCGTGTAGGACTCCAAAGTGCGATGATCACGACAAAGTCCGATGGTGCTGAAAACAAGTAACGTTTATGACGTCATATTACTAATGTACCAAACTACAATGCCGCACAATGCGAAGGTTTTAAATAAGTATTAATAATTATCATTATGCGAAAACTAATCCTTATCTTTCGAAAAGTGTGTAGGCCTAACAATTATATAGATATCTAGATATCTTGGGTGGGTGCGATACTAACCCTAATAACTCGACTATTGTGCGAGGACTAACCCTAAATCAAAGCAAATAATAGGACTAACCCTAATTAGTTGAGTAGTATACGAGGACTAATCCTAATATCTCTGAAACATGTAAGCAATGCGCAAAAACAAAAGCCTATGCAAGTATAAATTCGAAAATGATGGCATTTGAATGCAGAAAAATTGCGTCAAGGATTGACGTCGAATTATTGTGACGTCATAAACGCCGATTGTTTCTCCACTCCATCGGACTTTTGCGTGTCAGACCATCGCACTTTAGCGCAGCGTGTCTCATAGGAAACGAGCCATCGGACTTTGGTGTGACCACCGGACTTTGGCGTTCGTACCGACAACAAACCATCGGGGCTTGGCGAGACCATCGGATGTTTGCGTCACCATCGCACTTTGGAGACTTACATATATAGCACGGATAACCCATATCTCTGATCACTAGGGCTGTGTATTGAGCAAAAAATTCCGATACGATACGATACAATATTTTTTAAAGCGATATGCGATATATTGGATTCTAAAACATGTCCATCAAAAAAGGCTTATTAATCATTTAATGAATGGATTTCTTAAAAAATTTAGTGTTTTATCACCCATTTCAAAGTTCTTATCCCATAGTCAGTAAATATAATACTTCCAATCGAAACTTTTAATGACTGTAAAATCAACAGGTTAAAATGACGTTGTTATGTATTTTATAATAACTATAAAAACTGTGTTCTTTCTTTTATAAATCTATAATTATTGATCAGTTTAATTCAAAAAAGTGAAATATAATCTTTCCTTATCAAAATTCCTTTTTAGTAGAATTGAAAGAAAAGCTTCTTGTCCGACGTATTGGAAGTACATTGTAATTTTTCGACACGATATTTTTCTTGAATATCGATACGTATCGATATATCGATATATTGATACAGCCCTACTGATCACCCTCTACTTCATTATAAAAGTAAAATTAAGCAGTCTACAATTTTATAGAAAATATTAGATTTCTCCGTCAATTTCATTCCATGTCATTATCTGCAATTAGTACTACTTTTCTTCAATTTGACGGTTCACGGTAAAGTTTGGATATTTATGAATTATATACTTAATAAAACTAGTATGCAAAAAAAAATAAATAAATATAAAACAAAGTCATTTTTGGTTCATTTCAGATTAATAAATATTATTTAAAAGTCGTGGGTTACACCTGAAACCTTCATTTAAATGTCATTACTTATCCACTTGTCAAAGGAAGCAGGACCATGTAGCAAGGGGTTCAGAATTGGGAGGAAGGGAATGACAAGGAAAAAGTTCAAACATTTTTAAAAGTGGGCAACTCTCCCATTCTTTTTTTAAAAAAGCTTAAAAACTTAATTTCCCTGAATTTGCCAGCGCTCTATCTTACAGCAACAATAAAGTGTGAGTGTGTGTGTGTGTGGGGGGGGGGGGGGGAGTTGGGTTTAACCAGTTGAAAACAATTATACCAAAATACTTTCCTAAAAAGTGTGGAGTTGCTCCACCCCTTTCTACTGGCCTGGATAGATACTGTGTATATAAAATTTTATTTAAAACTTCTTGTGATTATTTCTACATAAGAACTAATTCTTCTACAATCAATTTAATTTACACTTGACTGCGTTAGACTTTAATATGCACCTAGCTATTAAATTGAATAGATTCAAAGTTAAACTTCACGTTCTTTGTGGTTACCCAACATGCATATTAAAAACTGTGTCAATTGTAGGCGAAAAAAACATGGCTGCAAATAACCCACAAGAAAATCCACTGGGCTCTCCCCTAGTGCACATTAAAATGTGTGAATTCCATGATTCACCAACTGATATTATTTGCGAGTACTGTGATAAATTTAACTGTGTCAAATGTGCTAAAACAGATCATAAAGATCATAATTGGAAAACTTTACCCACAGCAGCTACCGAGAGGAGGAGAAATTTACCTGAACTTTTTAGGAAGAGTAAGGAAAGAGATATACCTAGAGTTGAAGAGAAGATAGAAATGATATCGGAAAGAATCATTGAAAATAAAGAATTGTGTGACACTGAGATTAGAAAGCTTCAAAGACATTATGATGAGATGATAAGCAGGCTGTCAGAAATCAGGAAACGTAACGAACATTTAATAAACAATGATTTGAAGGAAAAAAATGAAAAGTTAAGTGGTGTAAAAACTGATTTAGAAAAAGGGAAAATGGCATTGTTGAGGCAGTTAAGTTTATGGAGGACAACAACGTCACCATGTCAGATTATAGTTTGATTGACAACCACAGAGAACTGACACAATTGCAGCCTACTCTGGATGTTGATTTAAATGACTGTAAACATTCAGTTAGATACAGTAAAGGAGAAATTAATGACGAGGTGTTGCATAGCTTATCTGGAAAGACACTGTATTTAAATGATATCAGTTTGACTGAAGAAAACTCGTTTAACTATGGAGATAGACGAATAACACTATTGAGAGCATCGAACGAAGATGAAAGTTACATAAGGCAATCTGAGTCCATATGCACTGAATATATTAACACGAAGAGTGCGATTAAAGATGAATTTAAAATTTCTCCGAGTGACATGTGTGTTACTAAAAGTAGAGATGTATATTTCAATGACTTTAAAAACAAAACCATCAGCAGCCTGTCACCATCTGGAGCTATCTCTATAGTCATCAGTACAGATCTTTTGGAAGCATGTGGAATTTGTGAGTCATTGGCCGGTGGACTACTGGTTACACTGAGTGACATAAAGTCAAATTATTTCCAATTAGAGTCACACAGCAGACGTCTGTTGAGACACATCACATTGACAGGTGATGTCATCAAGGAGTATGAATACCAGGAGGACGGTCAGACCAGACTGTTTACATGGCCAACCAGAGTCACACAGAATAGTAACTGTGACATCAGTGTTGTAAATGGTACAAGTAGCACTATGGGTAATCTAGTGATCATTTTTCCAACTAGTCGTATAAGGTCTGTCTACCATATACAGAACCTATCAGAGGACTTTAAGCCAACTGATGTAGTGTGTGACTCCCTCTGTAACATCCTTGTTACTGACCTTTACAACAAACGAATTCATTTGCTCTGTCCTGATGGGTTATTTCTGAAGTTCTTATTGACAAAGAATGAAACATACCACCCATTCAGATTATCACTATACAAGTCTACATTGTGGGTGGGATGCTTTGATGGACTCGTCAAAGTGTTTCATTACAAAATGTAAAAGTAATAGCGAGCGCAGTGATATTGAAAAGTTATTGAACAGATATGATATGTAAGGACAGTGATGAAGTCATTTGCGTTGAGTGCGCCATAGATAATCTAAGGGAGTACGATCCAAAAACTCTTACAATGGTGGTCCCCAAAAATGAAGAAGTCTACATAGATTTCTGAAGAATATCAAAGAAGAGGAACAACCTGGGATTAAAGGAGAATATAAACAAGCATATGCAGAACAGTTAAAAAGGTAGGAGAAAAGGGTGGATTGATTGATTGATTGATTGTAACTTGTTTAACATCCCTCTGGGGAATGTTTTAGTCATATGGGAACGCCACCACTAGCCAGTGGAGAGTTACAAATCTGTGGCCCTTTTCACAAAAATTATTACGACTAAGACTAAAAATTTTCCCCATTGTACAACAAATATTTAAGCTGCAAAAATATTCTTTTTCTTTTTCATTATACAAATATTATGCATAATTTCATTGTAAATAATTTTGTTCAGAAACATATATTTATTAACTAAGAAATAACAGAGTTGTAAAATTTTAGTCTTAGTCATGTTTTTTTTTTTTGTGAAAGGGGCCACTGTCCTATACTCGGCACTCAAGGCCATTTAGCAAGTAGGGATCTTTTTAGTACCAACACCTAGTGCAACACCGGACCTCGGTCTCATCAGAAGGACCGGTCTCCATGATCAACAATGGGATTCGAACCCTTGAGGATTGAGTCGTTATTTTCCGACTCTAGAGCATACACCAACCACTGTGCAACGCGGGTGACGAAGTAGAAAAGGAACATAAATTTATTTTCACTCCATATGGCATGTGTGTAACTACATGTAATACAAGTGATTTATATTATACTGATGATAAATTAAAAATAAAGTTCATCAGGATCTATTTCTAGAGTTATCGGTAAAGATCCAAAGCGACCATTGGGAATCTGTCAGTCAATGGATGGTCGACTACTGATCACCTTGATAAACAAAGCATTAGGTGTTTACAATTCAGACATCTGGAGAATTGACGTCATCCATGAGTATAATTACCAGATGGACAGCCAGACCAGACTGTTTACGTTTCCAAATATAATCACACAGAACCACAGAACAGTAGAAGTGATATTTATGTTGTCAACCGTACAAGAAGTACTTCTATTGAAATAGCGATTTTGTGTTTTACTGGTCGTATAAAGTCTGTCTACCGTGGAGAGAACCTAACATAACTGATGTAGAGGGTGACTCCCTCTGTAGCATCCCTGTTACCGAAGCTTATAACAAATAGATCTATCTGCTGAGTCCTGATGGGAAGTTCCTGAAGTTTCCAATGAGATAAGATGAATTTAACCATCCACATTCACTGTCCCTATACAAGTTTACACTTTGGCAAGGATACGTTATGGACTTGTAAAAGTATTTAAATACAAAATGTTTAGCACAGTTTTGCTGCAATAATATTGTACATTTGTATTATAATCTATATTTATCGTCCCCCCCTGTTAATTGATTTATTTTACTGATGATAAGTGAATTGAAATTAAATGTTTATATTTCAATGTCTATTTAAATCACTTGCACGTAATTCCTTCATTTCAATGGTTTATCTACCTGTCAATTATTAAGAGATACTTATGAACAAAGTTCGATTTACAATCCATGTAGTTATCTGAAATGCACATTTTAACTGGTTCATTGTTAGGAGACACCCGATTGACTGCCAGTAACTCATGATCAGTATAATATCCTTTAGGCTCTCCTCTAGTGCACATTAAAATGTGTGAAAACCATGAAAAAAAATTATTGATATGACATGTGAGGACTGTGATAAAGAGCTAAGTTCACGAAGTGCAAAAATCCGCCTAGTCACCAAAGTAAATAAAACTTTCTCACATAATACTAGAGGATTTGTAGGTCATAAAACAATTTATTTTTTGGTAACATCTTTTCTAGTTTTCCTTTTACAGTCATTTAAATATCGTATTGTTTTTTCTTCCAAATGAGTATTGTAACGTCATGACGTTGACGTTACATACAGGACAACTCCAAAATGATATTACGAAGTTTATCCAAAAGTATTATATTATAATCCCTACAAAATCTTAAATATATGAATTAAAATTTATTACTGTTATTTATTTTGAATTTTGTTTTCAAATTTCATTTGATTTTATTTGATATTACATTATCATAAACA